ATTAATTTATAAAATGGTCTGATGTAAATGGTCTAATCTAATTTTACTATTCTACGTAGATTTTTTAAGTGGATGTCCTTGAATTTTGGAATATTCAAAAAGTATATATATATAGTAATTATAGTAGTAGTATATATATATATATATATATATATATATATATATATATATATATATTAATTGTTATTTTGGAAAAATACTTAAAAAATAATAATCATTAAAATTTGGAAAAGGAGGATTCCTACTCTCCGTTACGTTTTTTTCCAACTCCTTCACGAATTTGAATCAATATTTCTAAAATCTTAAAATATCGTTAATATGATACTGCAATACTGGTTTAAACTTTATTTTATTATTTTTTAACAACAGCAACATAAAACACGTCGAATCAAACTGATTTAATTAAATATAATATTATATGATCTTAATAATTATTAAACTTTAACAAAATTAATAATTTTTTAAGAAAACATAAAAAAATAAAAATAAAAATATAATAGTTTTTTTTTTTTTAAAGCAAACAGGCTTTCTTTTATTATTAGGCCCCTTAATGGGCTGATACACGAGAATACAAGGGGAACAAAGGCCTTAGGCCCACCGGAATAGTAACCTTCACCGGAAAAACGAATCGTGTCCTATTGATACCAAGTTGCAGAGAGTCCGATCATCATTTCCGGCGGATGCGAGAGCCACAACTTTGCAGCAAATCGAAGTATCTAGTGAACGGGGAGGAAGCATCCGACTCACGACCACCGTTCCTTTTCCCTCGACCAACCAACCCCATCACAAGTCTCCCGGTATGAACAACTTTCCGACGTCTCGTCACGTTGATGGTAGCTCATGTTCCTAGCAAGCTCCAGCTTCAAACATAACCTCTTCTTCCCAGATCTGGCGTTCTTCCAGTTTGCCGAATCAGAACTCTCCACTCCGGCCCTGCGGAAGCAAGTCACGGTGACGAGGGACCGATGACTCAATCGGAGACCCAAATGCCCGAAATCCGCGACGGCCTTCAAGATCCATACGGATCTACCGTTAACCGCCAAAGCGCTTCGTACATTGCCCACATCTTAGTTACCCGCCCACATCTTAGTTGTTAACAAAATAACACACCCTTGTATATAATCTAGTTGTTAAGGAAAACTCCCTAGTAAGAGACATTGCGAAGAGTGTGAGCAGAGATGGAAGACTTCCCTTGGCGGACCGGCGTGGCTACATGAGAAGATTGTCTAGGAGCAAAGAGGAAGGTTTTAAGTAGTGGTAGTTTGGTTTGAATTCTTCTCATAAACGCATCTTTGTATTTTTGGTTCCCAAATTCATCTTTTAGATAATACTAGGTAATGTCCCGCGCATATGCGCGGGTTGTTGTATATTTATATAATTATTTTAATTTATTTACTACTTATAAAAATAGATTAAATAAATTTTAATGCTTATGACATTTTTACATGTTATTTATTTAAATCATACAATAGAAGCATACATCCATATCTTTTGAATTTATTCGTTGATTAATTGTTCAATATATCAATTTTGATAGTAATTTTCTTTAGTATTTTTAAGTATTTTTTGATAAAACAATAATATTGTTAATGATAAAAATAGGAATGATATTGGGAGAATTTAAAAAATACCCCTTTAAAAATACCACTTTTTAAATTTACCCCATTTTCAAACTTTATCAAAACAACCACTAAAAATGTTGAAATTTATCCAAATATTTGTGTAAACTTATAAATATACACAAAAATTACATTTATTTGTGTATAAAATTTTATTTATTTCAGTGTCTTACAAATTGGTTTGAATATAACAAAAAATATTTTGTTAAAATAATTACATACTTTGAAAATAAAATAAATATACATGAATATGTGAGAAAGAAAAAACATATAAAGTAAAACAATGAAAATGGTTATTAGCTTGATTTTCTTATGGTGCGATGGTCAGAAATCAATA